TACTCCCTCCAATGCGCGGCATTGTTTCAACGCGCGGCTCTCGTTTGAATCGGTATCGGAAGCATGTACGTGACATACCGCGCAAGGAGGTAACTGCACCACATCCCCTTCTCCCTTCGCTATCAACGACGTCGCGCTGTGTGCATTTCCGTATGGAATAATGGATGCCAAACATACGCGGGGATGTCATAATGACGTCAATATTTAGAAATGCGCGTTCTTCAGACGCAAGCAAATTTTTACAGTTTCGTATTACAGTTGCCATATAAATGCGAAACGTCGTCGAATAAAACAATACTCCGTGTGCAAAATTTACGACACATCCGATATCGCATTTCTTTAAAAATGCGAGCTCACCGTACCGTTATACTCGCCGCATTCTGAACTGAATCTTGTTACCTAACAATTGGATCGTAATAACAATCTTTAATAGAGAGTTGTTCGAGAGTCGATCCAATTTTGTAATATCCTTAATAAATCGCTAAAGAGATCTCAGTGTGTCTTCTAGTTTCTTTAAATATATCATTTTTAAAGATAATATTTTATAAAAATGAGTAGACGAGATTTTGCTGCAATACGTTTCTTAAAATCAATCGAATTGAAATATTGAACCGATCGGTTCCGTGAAAAATCGCAACAATATGATTACTTTTTTTATTAACGTAGTATAATAATTTAAATATGCTCTTGTCGAGTGGAAGCGCTATAAGCGCGTGAATTATTTTCATTCGTAGAAAATTGAACGCCCGCGCATTTTAAAAATATTTTCTTGCACATATACAAGAAATAGAGAGATAGATAGAGAGAGAGAGAGAACTCCGAGCAGCGATGAAAACCTACAAGCGAGAAGAAATTTTTCTCGAATAAAGAAAAGACCTCAGGAGAAGAACCTTAACCTTTTTTTTCGACAATAATATTCTCTTAGAATAAATATCGAGCGGAAAATGTTTGCAATATTTTTGCTCGCGTGGGTTTACAGACTGCACGATAGATTTGCTTCCAATGATATTTGAAATGAAAATAACCAGAAATTAACTCTCGACTCGGCATTTAAAATGAAAAATAATATTTTATAGATAGACGATTCTTGCATAAAAATAATATCAAATTATTTATGCTACGCGCAATGCTGGATATTTGATTGCATATTTTAATCATCCCTGTTGTAGATCAATTGGAATGCCAGATCTGAATTTAAGCAAAAAGAAAGAAATACGTCGTAATTATTCGAGTTTAATATTTCAACCGCTAATGTGATATGTCGGTCGATGAGAATGATAGAAGTATCCATTAACCACAGGAATCAATTCTCGTTCGTGCAGTCGTATAAAATTAAATACTCTGCAAATTAATTTGCGATTACTTTTGGAATTATTCTTTTTTGAAGCAGAGTGTTTCTCCGTTCCCTCTTATTGGCAATAGTTTTTGATATCAGTCAGTCTCTTTTTTTTTCAAAAAGACATTTCTCTCGGATTGTTGAAGTATCCGAAACGAAAATATTTCAAACGACGACAACGAATGATTCTTTACTTTGCGCGCCGGCAATTATTTATCCTCTTTTACGTGATAAAAGGAAACTTTGCCGAGCCTCTTCTTCTTGCGCTTACGCGGCGTTTGACTTCTCTTCGATCTCTTCGAGAGATCGACCTTTTCCTCGCAATACTAGGTATCGATATCCCCCTGGTAGGTAGTGATAACAGCAATATCCTTACGTGGGCTATCGAGCGCGCCGGAGAAAATTAACCGACGATCCAATCTCTGAGTTTTTCTATATTTACGATAACGTCTGCTGCCGACATACGTTTATACATAGGGTGCGACGAAAAAAATTGCGCGGATTGAAAAACGAGTTGGAGAGAATCTGCACTTGCAGTATTACTTAAATACATACGATCGGTTTAAACGTAAATCCCGCTTTAGACGATCTATAATTCGCGACAAAATTCGGAATAACATTTTCTATTTACAATTTCATGTATGTTGTATAATAATAAAATAGTAGAAGAAGTAAAATACGGACAAATGTAAAAGACATATCAGAATGAACACATACATAAGTTTTTTTTATAGTATAATGTAAAAATATAAATAGAATTCTATCTCGAGTCTTATCGCGAATTTATAGATCGTTCTAAATCGGGCTTAAGATATAAATTTAGAGCGCATCGCATTTGCTATTATATCGAGTCTTTCGATTAAGTTTCTTCCCGTTTCGTTCGATTCTATCGCACTCACGAAGGCTCGTTGCAGCAGCGTCGCACTGTAATACATTTAATAATCTAGATAAAAGCGTTTTCTCATCGTAGTGAAAATCGATCGGAACGCGCGAGCTGCAATGTCCGTGTTATTTCTATCCTCGCAACGGACGTCGATGCCTACGTTCCTATGATTCCCTTTCTCCGTCTTTACTCCGTCTTCTCCGTACCGTGGTGTATTGTCGAAGTCTCGGATCTTCGACGCTCGTGATAACGCACATTATCAGGGAACTGCCGCACCCTCGATCGAATGCGATGCACCATCGACGAGATGTCATTTTGGAAATGCCACGGTACAGATGTCTGTTGCGGAATGCCGGGCTTCGTCGTCGCGCAAGCAATACCCTCCGGTATCCGCCGAAAATTAGTTCCTGCGATAAATCCGTCTGTGCGACATTCGTGGTTGGCGATTGCCACCGGTAACAACGAAGTCACCCTTCTCTGTGTTTTATCCTCGGCATAAAAAGCCAATTTCAGGATTTACGAGCGATGAGCGCCTTCCAATATACGTCGCATTTGTCGGCGACACGGGGCAATCGAAATTTTCATCTCCCTATTCATTTTTATCGAGATTTCAAAAAAAATAAGTCTAAATCTTTGAAAAGTACACGTTTGTTTTAGGATAACTCTTGTGAATGTATAAAAATATCTATACGATGCCTCGTGGAATAGACTGGCATTCAGAATCGTTCTACGCTTAATTTTGGATGCTGTTCTTGAATAGCGGCTTTTCTTCTGAAACATATAAAATGAGGAGCTCCTGAAATTTGCGAAAAACGATATTCCAACTAGCGGTTTCCGCCATTGGTTCATCCTTTCGAGCTTTGCTTACGTAGTTTCTTGAAGCAATCATTCGCTTGGCTGAATAAGACGCGAACTTAGCATAATCAGCTTTGAGAAACCGGGTTGTTTGATTCGAAAAGTGACTGAATCTTTAATCGAGATCACGATAATTTAAGCGATCGAAATGTTACGAATGCATTCGCACTTTCCGGCAGAATATTCAGAATTCGACAAATTCGTTTTTATATCGCATTAGTTATCGATCATCTTGAATAAGTGATTTCTCCCTTTAATATCGAAGGAATTATCCTTTGTTCCAGTCTGATTAAAGAATCGTAATCTAGTTGGATTAAAAAGAAAAGAGAAAGAACTAGATTTACGATTACGGTAGAAAAAGAGCAATGAATTATGTATTCCGTTGAGAGTATAACCCCGAATGTTGCTCTCGTTCAAGAGGAGAGTTGCTTTGAAAAATTAACTTTTCAAACTGGCAGATTGAATTGCACTTGTTTCGATACTTTCACAAGAAAAAGCATCTCTATTTTATTCGCTTACTTTTTGCGCGCTCGTATTTCTTTTATCGTTCGCTGTAAAGCAAATTTTGACGTATATGATTGCAATGTGTGTTCTATCCCATAAAAAGCGATCGTATTAAATATTCTTAAGTTCGATACGATGCTAATGACGAACGCGATGGTGGATTTAAAAAAACAGGATAACTTTTCCGGATGCCTTTTCGGCTCTCACATTTTTTATATATGCGTGAAAAAAATATCTGGTCTGGTGATGGATATGCCGAGATATATCGAGAGCTGCGAATAAGAAATTGAGATTTGTTGAACTATGTAATTGGATCTTGACGGCTATGAAGTTTCGTCTCGTCTAATCGCAACATAGGTGACGTTGGAGCGAGTGTTTATCTTTCTCGTTTTTCTTGGCCGATTTTCGACGTCAGATTGATCGCCGCTGTTAGTCCGAAACTCGTCTCTTCCATTTCGTCGTGAAACCTTTGTTCTCTTAAGGCGACGTCATGTATGACGTATCCACGCTATATCTAGTAGGTATTACCTACTTCAACATCTACACGCAGCAAACTCGTCTAGATAAACAGAAGGAAATGTGTTTTCCCAGCACCGGACATCGATCTAAGTGGGGTTTCAGCACGAAAAGCATTCACACGCTAAAAGCAAGAGCATCACGTTCAAGCGAAGGGAAAAGATAGACAACTCACGGAAATCGGGAACTACGCTATCATCAGGATTATTGATTGTTTGATGTATCTAAGTATTATGATGATGACTCGAGCTTAAAGGAAACGATTAGTATTAACGAATAATATCTTTTTACATTTCGTGCAATAGCCGGGCAAATCCTAAACGTTACATTGTTCTAAAATTAATTTTGAATGTCACACTGATAATTTGAAATACGTAATTGCTCTCAGAGGATTATATGTAGATTTTTTAAATGAATGTATTTCTATTTCTTTTCTTTTAGTAGGAAAAATTGATATATAAAGGTTCACTTATATTGTTAGTTTACTTATCAGAAACTCATACTTTTTATGTTCATTTATGTGTTAAAAGTTAAATTATGTGTTAATTTGAAAATTCTTGAAATTCTAAAACTATGATTTCTTTGACGAATTACATAATTTAAATAGTGCTAAAATAGCGGGTAGCTTTATATCGATATTACATCACATTCGCTCTGCATATTTAAAAATTTCTAAAATATGCTTTATTTTTATTTTTATCTTTTTTTTTTTGATAGATATGTCAGTTTTGAGGGCAAAAATTATTTAGATTTCAATTATTATTCACTTTTATAATAAAAAAGAAGTTTGAATCAATATATTATCATATAAATTTTTATTCTAATTTCTTAGCTAGCACAAATTTCGTGCGCAAATTTCAAATTCAGAAACGAAAAAGCTTTTATTACTTTTTCTCTCTTACTTACCGGTCGATAGATATCGCCATCAGGGTGAAGACGCTGGCGCAGATCGTGAGGACGGCGATGAACTGACAGATCTTGCAGTAGAGCGTGCCGAACGGCCAATGGCTGTTCAACATGTAGGTATAGTTGAAGGTGACATTCAAAGTGGACACCATCGCGTCCGCGATGCTGAGATTTACCAGGAAATAGTTGGTGACGGTGCGCATCCGTCTATGCGCCATCACGATCCATATCACTATCAGATTGCCACCGGTCGCCACTGCGATCATGCCGGCGAACAGGAGTGTCCAGATCATCTGCCGCCACCATGGCAGCACAAATTGATTACGCGGCTCCAGATCCGTGTAGTTGGTGCCGTTGTGATAGTACGTGTCATTGTCATACCATAGTATCGTCGTCGTCGTCGTTGTCACGTTCCAAGGGTGTGACGTGGCATTGTATGTCAAGTACTCGTCTGCGAGACTCTGCATAGCGACGGAATCGCGAGAGAATCTCTCTCTCTCTCTTTTCGTCTCTCACTTACGTTGAACGCTACCACGAAAATTCTTTTCACTCTTTTTCTTCCTTCTTCTATTACAATTCAACTGTCGCCTTCACTCATCTTTCCGCTTGTAATTTTGCTGTGGCAATTTCTCCTTATCTCCCTCTTCAAGAGTGCTGAGTTTTCTGCCGGAATCTACGCAATCTTTATCTTTTTCCCTCTCCGAATGTTTGCGTTATACCACTTTTTCCTCTTCGAGGTGTGTTGACTTCTCGGTGATTGGGGTGGTAACTTCCACAGCAATGGCGTTGTAAAGAGATTCGGTATCGTCTATCGATTGTCATTGAATATATCCATTGGTTTTTTTCCAAAACTGAGTATTGCCGAGATACTCTAATGGTCCTGAAATTTTCACGCTGCTCGATTTAAAGGGTGAAGATTCGTTTGGGATAGAAGAAACTATCGGGGAGAGGATGGGGTGGACTTTCTATCGTCTTTCGGGGCGAATAACTTGCATATTTTTGGCGACCGCGCATACCAACACCAACCGATCAATTCGGTCGAGCTTTTGACGTAACGTCAAAACTCGTCCTCGCATCGCATCTATTCTCACGTAATACTATTATAATCGAAGCAACGTACGAATTCTTCGACGTGACGTCGCCGCAGAGGAAAGTTTCCGTAGATCAAAGAATCGAGGAACACATTTATCGATCGGCGTCTCCGAAGCGAATATCTTCGCTCTTC